TTACTCTCATACACTTTGCCTTTCAAAATAGCCCAAAAGTCTTTGATTGGGCGACACTCCGGTACGGCTGGCGGATTGTCAACTTTTTTGATAAAATTGATGTTATGAGTCTCATAGCAGCTGGTCACGGTTTTGGCATAATGCGATGAAGCCAGGTCCAGCCAAAATATGTAATTACCATCGGCATGATAAGCGTTGATGAACGGCACTAATCTTTTCCTAATACAATTCATTTCATAGATGGCTTTATTGACTGCAAGGCCGCTGGGTATAAAAAATGGTTTTGAAACACCTTTGTCAGAAGCGGCCAGCCAGACAAGCACCTTGGGTTCGAACCTGCGTTTTTTGCGATATTTAACACTAGGTGGAGTCTTGTCTCTGTTGCTAGAGTAGTAGGTGCTGTTTCCATTAATTGTTGAGTGTGACAGCGTGAAGTAAGACTCATCGTCAAGGATGACCGATTTTCCTTTAAAAACGCGATAAAGACGATCAATGCCAGTTTTGATTCGCTCATTCTGGTTCTCTTGTTGATGAGGTATACCCTGTTTTGTATAACTTTTGATGTCAGTGTACTTGGCAAGAGTTTTAATGATATGTGAATGACTGCATTCAAATTTTCGACCAGCTTGCCTCATCGAAACTCAGTCACTGTGATCAAATATGGCTTTCAGGCGCTTGATCCTCTTAGGGGTCATGATTTTGGCCACACGACCACTTCCTTGCACTCTTTTGTACCCAGAATCATTCTCAACACGTTTGATTATATCATAGATAGTGCTTCTTGGGATTTTTTCAGCATTGAAGTGAGCTACTGTGAACTTTTTACCTTGGAATTTATTATTCAAATAGAACTCGTAAATCCGTTTTCTTACCTCTTCTTGCTTGGTCATCATTATTTTTTTAATTATTATTAATTATCTAAAAAAAAAAAAATTAACTTATAGAGAATTAAATAAGCTATAAAATGGATATAAACATGAATAAAAAAGATTTAGCTTGTGGCATTTAAAATTCAATTAAAGTTTGTCCGGATTTTTAGTAACCACCCGTTACAAATTCAAATGCAAATATATTCAATCAGTATTTTCCAAATAAAAATAAAAACATTTCTAAAATAGATTAAGAAAAAATATAATTTTTTTTTTAAGACAAAACTGATAAAATGGTTTACTATATCGAAGTATGAAAACAAGTCTTCTAACAAATATTTTCTTAATAATTTTTGACTTATTTTAGTGTTAAAAATAAAAAAATTAAAACAAACTGGTTAACCTAGTCTATGAAGCTTCAAATACATTTCAATCAAATACAAATGTTAAAAAAAAGTTATTATCAAATACAATAAAAATACACCAAATTAGCCCATTTTTACCAAATACAAATACATATTTGATACCAACTCTGGTCATTAATCCTGTTGCTTTATTCATAGTAATTTCTGTTGCTTTCTCTGAAGTTAAAGGCGCAAAAAAATGCATTAAAGTAGTTAATGAATCATAAAAATTGACTAATATTCATGAAAATTAAAAACAACAATTGGTTAACAAATTAAACAAAACATAAGAATTAAAACAGAACTAGAACTTGATGACTAAAACTTGATATGATTTTAATAAAAAAGAAACTTTATTAAAAAACAAATGTAATTAATCTATATAAATCTATATATAATAAATCTATATATAATCTATAAAAAAACTAAATGTAATTAATCCTCAGAGTATAAACAAATTTACCTGAGCTTAACTTCTTTTTAAGCTAGAGAAAAGTTTCATTAAAATGAAAACTATTCTAAGATATACAAAGAGTTTGAATATCAAAGTTTTATTTCTCAAAATAATTTGTTTTTTTAAATTTTCTACAGAAGTATATTATTAATATTCTTTAGAAATAATGTTTTTTTAAAAAAGTTACTTAAAAAATAAACTTATTCTAATAGTGGAGAAGTTTATTTTGTCTTCATAACTTAAACTTTATCCATAACTTATAGGTGAAATAAAATACCATATAAACATACATGACAATCTGCTTCCTATATTTTACAAAGTCAACCAAGGTAAAATTGGTTAGAGCAGTAATTCTTGCCTTGAATAAAGCATTTGATACTTTGAATCACATAATTCTAATAAGCAAGTTTAACAGTTATGGTGCTTGTAAAACTGAACTCTGCTGGTTTAAATATAAACCTGTTTAACAATCTCATTTGTTTTCAAAGCACTATGTCTGAAACAGAAAAAGTTGTATGTGTTGTACCTCAAAGGTCAATAGTCATGCCCCTTTACTATATGTTATTTACTTGTTTTTTTAATGACTTTGTTTTGTTTTTGAAACACTCAAAATCTGTTATTTCTGATGATGACATAGTTATAAACGTTCCTGGAAAAGATGTATCAGTTATTTTATTTTTTTTTAAATTTCATTTATTTAACCGTAAAGTATGAAAAATTTACAATAATATATTATAAACTTACATAAATAAGGTTAGGTATCACTCATAATTAAAAGTTAGTCAATGGAGTGACACCTAAAAAAAAATACAACAAAAAAAAATAAATATATAAATAAAACATAAAGAATTTAAAAAAAAAAAGGAAAGAAGAGAAAATAAAGTTAATATTATTAATTGCAATAATAATATAATAAAAATAATAATAATAGTATGAATAGAAAACATTACAAATAGTAACTATAACATGATAACTTTACTAAAATTTATAACTAATGATAAAAACTTATAAAAATAATTATAGTAAAGTTTATAACTATGATAGAAATTATTAAAGTAAACAATTGCAAAAATTAGTACAACCATAAAACTATTACTACAATGGAATCACTATCATTATAAACAGTATAAGATAATAAGATTTACTTAATAAGACAAAGATTAAAGATAATAGTAATAATAGTAGTAGAGTTGAAAAGACATAAAATATAAGTAATAATAGTTTTATACAGTAATATAAAAAAGCAATAATAATAAAAGGTAATATTTATATTCTTTAAATATATACTCAAATAAAGATTTCTTAATTTGGTTTTGATTGAGAAGAAGAATGTTAGTAATAAAAGGGTATTTAGTTAAAATCTTTTATTTTTATAAATGGTATTATTTGATTCCAGTGAGAAATACATTAATGTTTTATAAAGAGCTTGCCATATTTTGATAGTATTGAAAAAGGAAGTGCGAAAATTAAAATTTTCAATAATTTGAGTTTAACATTTGTGCATGTCACTTGTTTTAATAACAAAATTATTAAACAAATTAAGTAGTTTATTTTGAAGAAAATCAAACACAAAGAGACAATGTAAAGTTTAACAAGATCTTGAAATTTTAGAATATTTAGTTCAAGAAACCTGTTTTGGATATTAGATTGTAAAAGAGAAAATGTCATAATTCTTATGGAAGTGCGTGGTAAACTGTTTAAAGGATGTAATAAAAAACTGCCTTTTTGACCTCAACCAGTGCAGCAATAACTTAGATGTGAGGAGAACAAGGAATAGTAAATTTTTATTAGAGAATGTTGAGGAACATAGTGTCATATTAATGACAGCATACTATTGGCACATAAGAGTTTATTCAATTGAATTATTTGATATTACTATGATAGGTTTTTGTGAAGAAATAGCAGAGGTATTTTATATATTTAGATGGAAAAAGTCTTTTACCATTAAATCTAATTTTTACATTATCATTATTAATCTTTTTTTTTGGAGGGTGAAAAATATAGAATCCTAACTTTTGTTAAATAATAAGGAATTATATAAAAGTTATTTAAAAAGATGTATTAGTTATAGAATCAAAAACAAAAGTTAATTTTGTTTTATAAATTTGTTATAGAAGCCTAACTATAGAATCCTAACTTCATTCAATATGGAAGTATCTCAAAAAAATATCTCAAAATAGTGTATAAAAACAAGTTAATTTTCAACCTTGAATTAGTAAAACCACTTCTATCCATGGTATTTGGTACAGGAAAATCTCTTTCAAGACAATCAAACACTACAATTCCTACAACCTCAACTCAATATGTTTCATCTTGAGCTAGAAATACCTTGAATCTACTCTCAAAATTTATTTTACTAATGCTTATAAAGATTAAGATGGCTTAAAAAATAAGATATTTGTTAACACCTCTTGCAGCAGAACACATATTCCAGTTAACAATTATACCAGTTTTGAAAATGGTATAATTGTTAACTGGAAATAGCAGCAACCTTATACCAGTTTTGAAAATGGTATAATTGTTAACTGGAAATAACAGCAACCTTATAAAAGTTTCAAAATGGTATAATTGTTAACTGGAAATAGCAGCAACCTTATAAAAGTTTCAAAATGGTATAATTGTTAACTGGAAATAGCAGCAACCTTATACCAGTTTTGAAAATGGTATAATTGTTAACTGGAAATAACAGCAACCTTATAAAAGTTTCAAAATGGTATAATTGTTAACTGGAAATAGCAGCAACCTTATAAAAGTTTCAAAATGGTATAATTGTTAACTGGAAATAGCAGCAACCTTATACCAGTTTTGAAAATGGTATAATTGTTAACTGGAAATAGCAGCAACCTTATAAAAGTTTCAAAATGGTATAATTGTTAACTGGAAATAGCAGCAACCTTATAAAAGTTTCAAAAATCGGACTTGTTGCTCTTTTTATTGTTCTGATTTTAAAGTATATAATGATCTTCTATTAGAACTTATGAAAATCAACTCATTTACTTTATTTAAAAAAAAAAAAAAGTTAAAAACTGATTTTAAATTGTTGTTTATATAACATTCAATTGATTTTAATTTTTATTATATTTTATAACAGGACTTACATGGTTACCATGGTTACTTACATGGTTAGAAGTTTCTAATTGAAAACAAAATTGTTGAAAATTTCTGAAATAATTTATCCTGCATAAATTTTTTGCCAATAAATAAAAGTATGTTTATTTATTATACTTACATATTAATAACTTTATAGATTGAGATTGCATAAATTTTTTTTAGGTTAAATAAACTACCACCAAACATTTATGTGAAAGTTAAAGATAAGGGTGGTATCAATTTAACATCAACAGTGAGTTTCATGATTTATGCAGTTTTTAATATTAACAATTGTTTCCTTAAATACCTATAAAATATTCTTAACAGTTTTTTTAAAAATTAGTAATTTATTATTATATTATAGTATTATTATTACATTCTTAAATTAAAGTTTTAACATTGATCTTAGTTTTAAAATTTTATTTTAGAAAATATATTCAAACTTTTAAAATTGCTTTTAATTTTTAACTTTGTTTTTAGTTTAGTTACTTTTGAATGATATAACAGTTTATTTTTTATTACAACTTATAGTGCAAGCAGTCAATTTTGGATTTAGACATGGTAAAAGCCATTCTTGGAGAATATCGTATTTGTAATGCTGATGTCACTTTGCATCAAGATGCCACAGAAGATGATCTTATTGATGTAGTTGAAGGAAATAGGTATGATTTTTTTTTTTTTTTTTTTTAATAATTTAAATTGTAAAAACTTTATTTTCAAGTGTAATTTTGAGGATTGGAAATGAAATGAGATTTCAAAATATATTTTTGATAATTTTTTGTTTCTTAAAAAGAATGTTTGACACAGCCAGTGAATGCAATGACGCAATCAATGCATGCAAAATGACACCACCAGTGCAATTTTTATTTTGGGCTAGAGAAAAGATTCATTGAAATGAAAACTATTCTCTAGCCCAAAATATTAATTTATTATTAAAATATATTAATAGTTATTTCTATTCTAAATTAACAGAAAATCAAACTTAATGTTAAATTTTTTAGGTTGCTTAAGTACAAGAAGTAAAAACCAAATATTTGCAATATTTTAAATTGATATTATTTTTGAATCATCCAATTTTGAATTTAGAATTCTAATAAACAAGTTTAACAGTTATAGTGTTTGTAAAGCTGAACTCTGCTGGTTTAAAAATAAACTATTTAACAAATCTCAAGCCATTTGTTTTCAAAGCGCTATGTCTGATGCAAAAAGTATTTAATCTTGAGCTATAAATACCTTCATACCTAGATTATACACTAAAAATTATTTTAAAAATACTTTATAACACCTCCAAGATTTGTTAACACCTCTTGCAGCAGAAAATCTGGTTTTTGCATGAGATATTTGTTACCATCTCTTACAGCAGAAAACCTGGTTATTGCATGAGATATTTGTTAACACCTGTTGCAGCAGAAAATCTGGTTGTTGCATGAGATATTTGTTAACACCTATTGCAGCAGAAAATCTGGTAGTTGCATGAGAGCAGTTCTTAATTATTTTCAGTTCAAAAAAATGTTGAAAAAATTTTTTATGTTTTTTTATTGCCTAAGTTAACAGCAATGAAAAATATTTAATTTTGTTTAATGGTGTTAAGTATTAAAATGTGATTTATTTTAAAAAATATTTTAATCCTTTTTACATCATGAGATGTGTACATTTGGCAACCATTACTCCCCTTGCCTGTATAGCAACTTTTTAAAATTTAAAACGATTTGCAAAATACCTTGATTATGCTTATACTAGCTTTGTATTATTATTATTTTTTTAAATATTGTGTTTAAATATTGAGTCATTGTTGAAATAAACAATATGTATCATGTCATTTTCCATTTTCAAAATACTTAACACTATATATCTTGTCATTCTTATACAAAACACAAAACAAACAAATTATAAATGCATTTTATTAAGGAAGTTTACTTATATATATATATATATATATATATATATATATATATATATATATATATATGTATATTTTATATATATATATATAATATATATGTATATATATATATATATATATATATATATATATATATATTATATATATATATATATATATATTATATATATATATATATATATATATATATATATATATATATATATATATATATATATATATATATATATATATATATATATATGTATATTTTATGTATATAATATATATATATATATATATATATATATATATATATATATATATATATATATATATATATAATATATATATATATATGTATATTTTATATATATATAATTATATATATATATATATATATATATATATATATATATATATATATATATATATATATATATATATATATATATATATATATATATATATATGTATATATATATAGTATATATGTATATTTTATATATATATATATATATAATTATATATATATATATATATATATATATATATATATATATATATATATATATATATATATATATATATATATATATATATATTAAACATCTACGCATCCAACTATGCTAAGCAACCACTAATTAGTGTTGGAAGTTACTGGAAGAGAAAAGATGAAGATTGTAGAGCAAGATAACGATTGACAGACAACTTAAAAGATTGCAAATTATGTTAATCAGGAAAGCAAGATGAAGGAAGCGAATTCCAAAGAACTGATGTTTGAGGAAAAAAACTAGACGAATAAGAGTTCTCAGAGCACTTAGGAACAATAACAGAAAAAGGATGAGACTTAATTGAATGAGAAGTTACACAAAAGTGAATTTTAGTAAGAAACAAAAGCTCTTTAGAGCAGTGCCCATTATAGTATTGGTAGAAAATGAAAGAGAAGCAACATTATGACGATGTGATAATGGTTGAATGTTGGCTGCAAGAGCAGGTCCAACTATGTTTACAATGCGTTTTTGCACCTTGTCTAAAAGAGAAAAAGCATCATTAGAAGATCCGCCTCAGATATGGCAACTGTATTTCATACAAGGCCGGATTTAAGATTTATAGAGATAGAGAATAGAATCCAGGGTAAGAATGTGTAGATCTTGATAACAAGATGCAACTGTAGCAGATGCTAATTTTGCTACGGATTTGATATATGGTTTTGAATTAAAGTTCACCAGTCACTGTGAGCCCCATGCTGTAGCAGAAGTGAGATCCTTATAAGCTCAAATACCCCCTCCAAGCAATCAGAGAGAGTTGGTTTCTTATCATGTTAAGAATAAATGGTAGTATCATCAGCGACCAATGCCACCTTAGATTTAAGAATATCTGGAAGATCGTTAAATTAAAAAGAGTATAGGGCCAAGGATTGAACCTTGAGGAACCCCTGTAGTTACAAAATAAGTAGAAGAGTGCTGTCCATCAAGGATAACTTTTATACTACGATTGGAAAGGAAGGATTCAATAATCTTAAAGATGTTCAATAATCTTAAAGATGTTTCTGGATACACCGTAAGAAGAAAGTTTATGGAGAAGACCAGCGTACCAAACTCTATCAAACGCTTTAGAAATGTCAAGAGGGTTGACCTTAACCTCTCCACCTTTATCTAATGCATGATAAAACCTATCGATTATTACTGTTAGCAAATCAGCCGTAGAACAAGAAGATCGAAATCCATATTGATAATTAGAAAGTAAGTTATTAAATTCAAGATGAGAGATAAGGTGTTTGCTAATTAAAGATTCAAAAACTTGCTTATGATAGGAAGAAGACTAATGGGATGGTAGTTAGATGAATCAGATCGCTCTCCAGAATTTTAAAAAATAGGGATAACAGAAGCTGCTTTCCAGCAGGCTGGAAAGCAGATAAGCACTTTTTCAATAGTTTTAAAAAGATAGACGACAGCTCTGGAGAACACTTTTGCATTACTATAACAGGTATATTATCCGGGCCACAAACTGTAGAGTCTAAGCAGGAAATCACTTTAGATACAGAAGCTGGAGTGATAAAAATATCAAGCCATGGATCAACCTGTTTGACGGCTATATCAGGTAGAATACAACTGTGGAATCAAGAGATAATATTGATGAAAAGTTCTTAGCAAATAATTCATCTTTGTCTTTAGGTGAGGTGAAAAAGTCTGAACCATACTAAAGAGGTAGAATTACAGACTTGCCTTTATTATTGATACTATTTAAGGTTCTCCAGAAATCACGAGAGCCTAATTTTTGTGATGAAATTAATTTTTGTGATGAAATAAGATTTTATGACCTAAGAATAGCATGCTTTGGTATTAGACAAAACCTTTTTACAATTGTTCCTGCAGTAATAAACAGACGTCTGTTTTCTGGGGAATTGTTTTGCTGATAGATATGGAAGTAACAGTTTTAATTTGTAATTGCAGCAGCACAATGTGAGGAAAACCATGGAGAAGAGTGAGGCTTGACCTGGAATCGTTGAAAGGGAATAAAGTGTTGCATGCCAGCCTGAATCCACGAAGTTATGTAAGAAGCACATTTGGCAACAGGAAGACAAAAGATTTCTACCCAAGGGCCATCACAAAGAAAATCACGGAAAGAATCCCAGTCAGCTTAAGGTAGTTGTAAGAGGTACGGTGATAGGGGGATTCCGATGATAAAGTAGAATGAGATAATAGTTTAAGAGATGTAATAGAAAGAAATAGTTTTATATTATGTTATATAAGATAATATTTTAACTTTGAAATTTTAATTTATCTATATTTAAATTGTTTTATTTTACATTTAACTAGAAAGTTGATTTTTATTTTTAATTTTTTACTTTATTTTAGTTGTATTTTTAAGATTTTATTGTGCATTATTAATTTAATAATTTGAGAAAAGTTTAACAAAGTTTTTGACATAAAAAAAGTTTTGATCCATAAATTTCTTCCAATAATGTATTTTTAGGGTTTATATACCATGCATATACGTTCTTAACAAAATCGATCAAATTTCAATTCAGGTAACACATGTTCTTTAATGCCTAGATTTATTACATGCGTTGTTAATTTGAAAAATGATCCATTTCTCTTTTTTTTTAATTTACTTTTAACTATATTTATTTTTATTAGATAATTTTGAAAAGAAATCTTTGAAAACAAAACAGTAAATTAAAGTAAACAGTTACCTTAGTTACACCTTGTTTGTATTTTAATTAATAAGTTGTTTGGTTGAAAAAACATGAAGATTTTATATTACTTTTTTTGTTGTGGAAAAACAAATTAAGGTTTTTTAAAAATGTATAACAGTTTGTTAGCAAATATTCTATTTCAGCAAATATTCATATTGGGTAGTTCCTAGTTGGTTATTTTGCATCAAATCAACTAGTTGTCACATGTTTTGACACAATTTCAGGTAAAATATCAAGCAGTTGATGAGATATAGCAATTTTGGTATTGATCTGGTTTCCTAAAAAGAAACCTTTTTCATGAAACAAACCGGTTTTCATGAAATCAAAATAAATCTTTTTTCTAATAAAATAAGGAATAACAATGGCAAAAATATGAAAATAAATATTTATGTTTTTTTGATGCAGAATTCAATAAATATAGTTAAAATGCTGAAATATGAGTGAAACATGCTTAAAAATTAATAAAACAACAAATTTATATGATTCGTCTTTGGAGCCCAATATTTCAAAACTCCCCTGTTCAATTTTTTTTTTTTTAATTTAATATTTTTTTCTTTTAGAATTTTTAATTACTTATAATCTTAGATGTCACAAAAAATCAAACTGAAATAAAATATAGCAAAAAAATTTGCTCAAAAATTTAATCTTTTTTGTACAAAAAGTGGAAAAGAAACTTTTTAATTTAAATTTAATAGTTCAGTTCATAAACTAAAAATTGACAGGAATGTTTCTTATATGACAGACCTGTCAATCTTTAGTTTATGAACTGAACTATTAAATTTAAATTAAAAAGTTTATTTTCCACTTTTTAGTACAAAAAAGATTATATTTTTGAGCAATTGTTTTTGCTATATTTTATTTTCTACTTTTTAGTCTTTACAAAAAGTTACGAAATATTAATATTAAACAAAAATTTTTATAAAAAAAAAAGTTTTTTTGAAAGATTAAAAAAAAATACAAACCCACAAGCAATCTTAGCCAATTTTAAAAATAAAAAGATGTATTTATAAAAAAAAAAAAAAAGTAAATTTTTCAAAAGAAGAATAACAAACCCACAAGCAACATTAGCCAATTTTAAAAATAAAAAGATTTATTAATGAATGAAGGTTACTTTTAAAAAACAATCCCACAAGCAATTTAGAAGCTAATTTTTATATAAAAAGTTAGTTTTATTGTGTCCCTTGGATGACAAAGTTGCTTGAGGAAGAGTTCATATCAAATTAAATAAAAGATTAAAAAAACAAAAGTAGCATATAGAGCTATAATTATGTCACTTTTTTAAAAAATATTTGCAAATACATTAAAATAAATTAACTTTAATTTAAAAAGTAACTTAAAAATATTAACTTTTTAAGGTATTGAAGGCGTTAAACATAAATTGATTAAAGTTTTAATAACATCTTAATGAGGATTTTTTGATGTTTGACATTTGTATGTTTATACTTACGTCAAATAAGGATGGTTTGCAAAAAATTGTGATGATTGGAGCCTGGGAACAAAAAAGCCCAAAACTTTTTCGGCCCATGCCCCGCATACGTGAGAGCAACAAGTTGATAAAATATTTTTTTTACTATTCTTAACTAGACTAATATATGACTCCACTTTATACTCTTGTCTTGACAATAAATCTTCCCTTTTTTATTTGCTTAGAACAAGCAGCAAATTTTGAATCTGATCTCTTTTCTGTAATAACCAAAGGCTTGCTGTGTCATATGGATTTAAATTCTAGTCTAGTTATATATAATATAAATTTTAAGTTTTATAGCATAGCATATTTTATAGCATCTCTTAGTTTTCCATAATTATGACTATATAAAATTTGACCCCCTTAAATTGAGGGGGATACAAACTTTGTTTAGGGCAGTGTGCGTAAAGGTTTTGAGCTTTTTTTGTTCCCAGGCTCCAATTATTGCAATTTTTTTCAAACCATCTTTATTTGACGTAAGTATAAACACATAAATGTTTGAAGTTTGCTCCATGTCTGGAAGTTAGCAAACATAAAAAAATCCTCCCTAAGCTACTGCTTAATGACCTTTGCATGTTTTCTATGCAATTAAGCCATTTAAACATATCTTAATAAAATAATTTACTTGGTATGAGCCATAAGAAGAAAGTATTTCTGAAAGCAAATAATTAAATTCATCTTTCTTACTTAATTTTTAGCTTAAAAAAAGTTTTTAATGAGAAATAGTTCAAACCTTTTTAGATTCTTTCTTTAGTATGATGTTTTTAACTGGTTGATATTGTTAATTTTTATTTATATTTCAAATTGTTAATTTTTTAAAATTTCAATAAAATTTTACTTATTAATGTGGTTATATAGCTGAACAATTTATAAGCTATAATTCCTAAAATTTAATAATTGAATACACGTCAGTATTGCACTTAATAATTTTTTATATAAAACAAAACAGGTTAGTTTTTCAGTCGTTAAGATCATTAATTTTCTATTATGTAAGACTTCCTTAAAAATATAAATATTTTTTTCCTTCTAATGAGTTTCTTTGTAGAAAAAAAAAGTACTTCTAAATCTTTTTTTTTTTTATTCAAAACTTAACAATCAGAGTTTGATTAGCAGGATTTTTTAAACTTTTCTGAAAAAGTGACATCTTTTTTCAATAAGTTTAAAAAATTTTAGTTCTATATGTTTCTGTTGTTTTTCAAGATAACTGAAAATATTATAATTAAAAAAAAAATTTAGAGGGGGTGATGTGAGTTATTGGGCTTTAAAGTTGGATCATATAAACTAGTTATTAATTTTTAAGCATTTTCCTTTTATATTTCAGCATTTTAAGTACAATAATTGAATTGCTTAATTAAATGTTTATGTTCATATTTTGGCTATTGTTATTTCTCATTTTGTTCCAAAAGAAACTCTCTCAGAAATCTTCACTTTTTTATGTGTACCCCTCACTTAACATTTTAGTAATAGTTTTTAAACGTTGCTAAAAAATTTGCTATTTTACATTTACAAAAAAAAATACATTTTTTCAAATCTTTATTAAAAAATATTTGCAGTAAATGTAAAACAGGTCCAATCTAATAATTTCTTGATATTTGGAGAAAATAAAACTTATTTTAGTGATGATACTATTATTGAAATGTACTCAAATTTTTTTTTTAAATAAAAAATTTTGTTTTATAAATATGGGGACTGCACAGGCTTGGCAAATTCAGTTGTGAATTTTAATTCAATTAATTTGCTGCTAAAGTCAATTTCTCAACAACCAAATACTTTATTTGTTTCAGCTTCACATACATATTAATTTATTAAATGCACAGTGTTGCTAGCTAATTATTTGTATTATCTTTTCTACATCAACCATTTTTATACTTATTCTTTATATAGTCACTGTACTTCAATGTTTTTTTACAGTACAAAAATTATTCATTTATCTAATCTAGTTTTTGTTTAACAACTAAAGTTTCTTACTTTAAAACTTCTTATAATAAACGCGGGGAGAAGGAACATATTTTTTTATGTTGCTAATTTCTGCGGAATTAGAACTTATTAAAAACCTGTTTATTTTTTTCTAAAGAAAATGTTTAAGTGTAATTTATTCCTACTTTAGGAAAGAAAATTGTCTCTTAAATTTCTTAGATGCACAGATTTTCCAGTTAATTAGGTAAAAACGTTAATAACATAAATGTTATTATTTCTAACACAAATGACATTTCTCCCAGTAATTTTTGAAATTTGTAATTGTAATAAAGTTTAGACCCTCCCAATAAAAACCCCTCTTCCTTACATTACTGGTGAGAATAGTTTTTTTTAATTAAAAATTTTTAAATCAGAAGTTTTTACCAAAAAATAAAATGCAAAATAAAACAGTATATGTAATTATTTATGTAACTATTTATATATATATATATATATATATATATATATTTACATTCAGAAAAATACCAATTATTAAGAAAAAAAGAAATATATAACTTTTTGACAGTTTAAAAAAAAAAGCATAAATTGAAAAAGGAACAAACTACATTTTTTCAACAAAATTTATTTACTAACAAAGCAATACAAATTCTTATCTATAAAAAAGAACAAAAAATTTATTTTTAAATAAAACATCTTTTTAACAAAAAAATTTATTCTTTACTGTTACTACATATATACACAATAACAAAGCAAAATATAAAAAGAAAAATATATATTTACAAAAAACATTTAACTACATCTACAATTAGTACATTGACAAACTACAAAAGTTCTAATATTATATGTAGTGTAATGTTTTCCTACCACTCCTTCTCCTCGCATTTTGCTTTCCTAGAGAGCCACTCTCCCAATAAAAGGAGGAGGAAATTTGCCACCAAATTGGACCCACATTTATTGTTAAACATTACATTACTATTCATTAACACTGAAGCAGTGTTACAAATAGTCAAATTCTAAAAGTCACTTATTGCTTAAAAAACAACATGTTACACAATTTAGTAAAAACATAATAAATAACAGTACAAACAGACTTTGTAATGTTACCAAAAAATAAAGTTAATGGTCAACATAGTAAACTTCAAATAATTAAAATTTACTAAATTAAAGTTATATTTTAACAGTAAACAAAGTAAACTATTGATAGTTTGTAGAATACAAATAGAACAAAAGAAATAAAACAACAATAATAATAAGTAGACATGTTTGTAATACATAATTTCGAGGTTAAACGTAAGAATCAACTCTACCATTTCAAGACAATAAAGGTAAAACAATACACTCTAAGAAAAAATCTGTTATATACAAAGAACTGCATCTGTCGCTATTATACCAACTGGTTTACCGTTATGTTAACAGATTGAAATTCGTCAATATTACGTTGAAATAAATG